TTTCCCGCTTGCGGGGGGACAGAGGAGGGTCTGAGTGACCTTCCCGCACAGGCAGGGGCACCGGGGCACGGAGTATTAGAACAAGGAGAGCAGAGGGGTGAACAACGCTGGAGCAAACCTGGGCCGGCTGGAGACAGGAGCAGAGCGAACAGCCACACTTCTTCCCCCACAGGACCGGTCCCACAGAGCAGAGGACGCCCGTGTGGCCCCTGGATGTGTGTACTCGCTTCTATCCCCCACTCTTGTGGGGGTGACACTCACCAATAAAGTCTTAGCGCGCAAGCCAAGATGTTCCTCGACATCCAAGAACACCGTCCTGCTCTTGGAATCGGGACCGAACCCCTTCACACCCCCTGGGATAATGAGACTCAAACAAGCGAGTAGTGACAGGTGTTGATAAGGATGTGCAGAATGGGGTGCCCGGTGGCTCAGGCAGTGAAGCGTCTGGCTTCGGTTCGGCTCATGATCTCACGGTCTATGAGTTCGAGCCCCGCGTCGGGCTCTGTGTTGACGGCTCAGAGCCTGGAGCCTGCTTCATATTGTCTGTCTCCCCTTCTCTCTGCCCCTCCCCTGCTCGCGTCTGTCTCTCAAAAAATAAAATAAAATGTTAAAAAAAATTTTTTTTAATAAATAAATAAAACGAATAGAAAGGATGTGCAGAAATCAGAACCCTCATACTCTGGCGGGAATGTGAACTGGGCAGCTGCTTTGGAAAAGAGTCCAGCAGTTCCGCTAATGATTAAAGACAGGGCCACCACTGGACGCAGCACCTGCACTGCGGGCAGCCTCACCTGGGAGAAGGGAAGCGTGCCCTCCCCCGCCCCCCACAGAGACGGTCACGCCCATGGTCGCAGGGGCATTGTTCATCAGAGCCTCAAAGTGAAAACAACGCAATTATCCATCAATTGGCAAATGGATAAACAAAACGGGCATTTCCTCATAACAGGATATTATTCAGCCATAAAAAGGAGTAAAGTACTAACACATGATACAACATGGGTGAACCTTGAAACATTATGCTGACTACAAGAAACCAGTCCCCCAAGACCACATGTTATATAATCCCATTCAAATAAACTTCCAGAACAGGAAAAGCTATAGATAGAGACGGAAAGTACATTACTGGTTGCCGAGGGCTGAGGAGAGGAGGCTGGGAGGTGGGGAGGAGGGGGGTAGCGGAGATGTGAGCTACAGCCTGAGTTTCTTTTCGGGTCGATGAAAATGTTCTAGAATTGACAGTGGTGATGGTCGCACAGATCCGTGAATATACTAAAAGCCTTCGAATTGTACACTTCACATGGGTACATTGCATGGTTCGTGAATTATATCTTAATAAAGCTGTATAAAAATGATAACACAGTCTACACTGATCGACTCTGAAAGATATTCATTATCTCCAAAGTTCTGGTTCCATTATATGCGAAGTATGATCTTAGTCGTGTTTGTTTTTTTTTGAAACACACACACACACACACACACACACACACACACACACACACAATTTATGCATAGAGAAAAAAATGTGGAAATTCACACCCCCAAATGTTACATTATGTTTAGTCACTGGGATTATGAGGTTTTTAAATATATTCTTGCATACTTTCTGAATGTTTTGCAGGGAGCATGTGATATTTTTCCATTAAAAATAATATACTTAGTCATCTACCCTATTTTTTAAGGCTATTTATTATAAATGGTTACTAATGTGTTTTTTTCTTTAAAGAAAAAGGCAGCAGATTGCTCACTGCATGACCTCTCAAAGATCTGAGACACCACGTCCTCCCTTTCTTCCCACGAGTCTTCTGTGTCCAGAAGAGCTACAGAGGTCTTGTGTCCTGGGTCAGCGATTTGGGAAGAAGGCACTGTGCTACCGTTAGTCCATAAGCGACATAAGTGAGGAGTAAACTCTCCTCACATGATGGCACATCTACACGGATTACCCTCCAGGGATGCCGTTAAGAACCAAATGTTACCCTCCTGAACACATTTCCCTAAATACTTAAGTCAGAGTAACTGGGGCTAGGGAGAGCAGATCCTGTCATGGTTGAGACACAGCCCTCATTTATTAGAGAAAGGACAACAACAACGTCCGTCTGTCACAGGGGCTGATTGAGTTGCAAATTCTCAAAATAATTGAATATGGTTTCTGATACCAAGGCTGTGGTTTCCAGGACTGCAAATTCACATGCCTCCGATGCCGTTCCCCTAGACTAACTTCATTCGTGGGACCAGACTCCCATGATACATACCCTGGGGATGCAGCGACAAACCCTTTGTGGGATGGAGGCCACACCGACAGCCCTCAGGAGGGACCCGACAGAACGCAACCCCCAAGCACCCTCCCACGTGGTCTGTGGGCCTCTGCGTGGCTCCGGGAGGCCCCCTGATTCACAAGGACCCAGTAGAGATGGGAGGGAACACAGAGTCAGAGGCTGGGCTGTGCTGACAGCGGCTCAGGTGGACAGAAAGGCGGGCCAAGTGAACAGACTTCAACACACCAATAAGCTCGTGGGACGGAGAGTCCCTTTCCACACAGGAAGCCATAAAATACTTTCCTAAGGTTTGTACCTGTCCGGAAGGAGGATGACAACTCAAAATGACACTGGGAAGGTCTGCACGGCCAGGCCGAGTGGCAAGAGGGGAAACGTAAAGAAAACTGAGGGCACCTTACACCCTGGAGGACAGATACACTGAGTTCTGTGCTGTAAGGAATCCGCATATACAGCAGCTCCACTGGGAAGCAAAGAGCTATCGCTTCTGCCTCTTGGGCCTTGTAGACCCGAATAAGCCAGTTTCTGAAAGCTGGCGAGAAGCTCCTTGGGTTTACCGGCGTTTCCTATCGGAGTCCGTGACATGCCCACATTTCAGGGTCAAGACGGTGGGAGAGACACATCTCCGTGAGGTCCACACGTTGAGTGTATCGGTGCTTCTCAAGGTGCCTGTGTGACGCGTAATGTGTTTCTGTCCTGTTTCTACCCAGCGCTTGAGGCTGATGGGGGCGGGGCGGGGAGGGGAGAGACGCGCAGGCTTCTGAGGACGGACTGAAGAAGGACGCGACTATTCGGCGTCTGGTTGGATAGGTGTGCCCCCACTGATCCAGCTGACGTCCTGCCGGTGCGCAGCAGAGCAGCCTCCGCTTTTCTTGCTTTGACAAAGTCCCAAGGCTCCTACGACAGGACGCACTTACACAAGGCGCGCTGGAGAAAATGGCCAGGACCCAGATCACAGCGCGCCACGAGGTCAAAAGTGCTGCGAACCTCCGGAAACCGAGTCTATAGTGGGGGCCGGGGCAGACGGAGAGAGGGTGAGAGCCTCCTGCCCTTCCCACGAGAAGACGTGACCACGGAACCCCCCCACCCCGTTCCCACCTCCACTTTGTCTGGGTCATGCTCAAGAAATGAAAACAAGTCACATCCCTCACAAATGCCACGTCCGGATTGTGCATGACGGTTTGAAAGTCAGTTTGTCATAACATGTGATGATGACACTTCTTAAAAATGTATGCTCTCGCGGACGTAGATTAGGTTAAGAGGTCACAGCAGCGTGGTATGTTGGACTGGGTGTGGGATACCTACACCACGACCAGGCTGTGTCTGGCCTGCAAGTGAGCCCTGGCCGAAAACCCACTACTGGGGGGGGGGGGGGGAGGGGGGAAGGAGGGGCAACAGTGACCAGCTAACGAGTGGCAAATGTCTTCACGCAGCGCTCCTCAAAACTCTCCCAGGGCAACACCCCTTAAAGTCGAGGAGTGTGACCCCAGCACTGCAAGCACTGCTTTTCCTTGAAGTCTCCTGTTTAATCATTAAAAATGCATGCGAATCCTGCCTCCACCCCCCACCACCAAAACCAGGAACTTTGAGAAACATCAATATCTCAGGAGGCTGTTTCTGGTTTTTTGTTTTGTTGTTGTTTGTTTGTTTGTTTGTTTGTTTGTTTTTAAGATTCTGGCAGATGGCCACAAGCCCCCATACTGGAGATGCCACACAGTGGAACCTCACACCGCCTGAGCCTGTGCGACGTCGTGGCCATCAGACTTGCTCTCAAGGTCCGAGTTCCTCCCAATCTCTGCTCCTCCGCGGACAGTGCTGCAGACCCGGCTCTTCCCCTACGGTTGCTGAAGATCCCGCGAAACAACAGGACCTCGCTCAACAGGATGTGGGTTTTGTGGGGCCTGATGTGACACACGTTGGCAAGCAGGACACAAACACGTACGCACCAACGCGGTAAAGTAATCTACTCTTCAAGAGGAGAGTCAAGAGTTCAGATTTCCTTTTTTTCTTGAATGGTGGTGGCTTGCTTTCGCCGGGTAAGGAAAGACGAATGAGATTTTTACCATTTGCATTTTCGTAACAGACGTCACGTGGACCAGAGGTTTGTGGACCGCTCTGCCGCGGGGAAGCGGCGATGCACCCTTAACAGCACGCAGGCCTGCACACACACACACACACACACACACACACACACACACACACACAGCGGAGCAGCGCGCCTCCGAGCCCCGGGGCACTGCACGCACCAGTGCACTCGCCGTAAACTAGCAGGTGTGGTGACCAGCCGGCGCCACGGAAGCCGGCCACACGACAGAGGTCGGAGCATCGTCAGGTGACTCGGCAGGTGCATAGCGATCACCTGTTGCCCGCCCAGTGGAGGGGCCAGGTCAGCAGGGGAAGCTCATCAGTGGGCCACGTCTACGTGACGATCGAGGGCCCAGGTTGTTCAACCGAGGGATGCCGCCCACCCGCTCCGGGCCAGCCCCGCTCTTCCCACCCAGGCCCGGCCGGCGAGTCCCCGAAGCCCCCTCGGTCCCTCAGTCCATCCGCCCGCCGTCCGCGCTCCCGAGCCAGCGCCGGGCGCGAGGCGGCGGTGGCGTGTGCTGACGTCATATGGGCCGCCCGCCCCCGATTGGCCGCGGCCGCCTCACCAGACCCCGAGCGGACGGGCGCGCGGGCGGGGCGGGGCGCACGGAGGCCACGCCCCCAAGCGGCGGGCCGGGCAGGGTCACGTGACCCGCGGCCCCGCCACCGTCGCCCGCCTTAAAAGCTACACCGCTTGCCCCGCGCCCAGGGCCCAACTCCAAGCGGTCCGGGCCGTGACCACTTTCCACAGCGAGTCCGCGCGCGGGCGCCCCTCGGACAGGTAGGTGGGGCGCGCTGGGGATGCCCCGGGGTCGATGCGGGCCGGCGCCGAGCTCGGGTCGGGAGCCGGGGATCCGGGCGCCCCCGGCCCGGCCCCGGGGCGGGGCTGCACCCCTGACCCCTGCGGGCCGGCTCAGTGCCCCCCTCCGTCCGCCGGCCCCGGGAACTTGGCGCAGCTCGCGGGCGGGGTCCGGGAAACTTTCGGACCGGACGGGCCGGCAGTAGAGGTGCGTGCCCTGCTTCCGCGCAGAGCGGCGCAGCTGCGCCGGACACCTGGCCGCCCCCCCTCCCCCGTCGGCGCACCGGCCAGGTGGGCTGAGGGGGGTGGGGGTGGCGTCCCCACCCGGCGGCCGTGAACTTGACGGGGTCCCGCCCCCTCCCCCTGCAGGAACGCCGGCCGGCGCCCGGGGACCGATGCCCAGGCTGGACGACCACTGCTGGAGCTGTTCCTGTGCTCAGGGCGCCAGGCACCGGAGCCTCCCGCGAGCCGGGCCCGGAGGGCTGGCGGCCAAAGTGGGGGACATGCTCGGCCCCGCGTCGTCCAGCCTGGGCATCGGTCCCCGGGCGCCGGCCGGCGTTCCTG